ATCTCACTGAACACTCTGCTGTGAAGGTCTTGCATGTGTGTTTTTTGGCAGAGGAACAGAGTGGACTCCCATGGAAATAGGAGAAGTAGCTTTTAGTCATTCTATTTAGAGTCAGGTTGAGCAAGTTCACCTGCTCTTCCCAGTCCCTCATGTTTGTTCAGGCCTGAAAGAGATCAGACACAGGTGTTTGAAAAAATGGCAGGTCCTGACCTCTGGAAAAGAGAAACCAGGTCTGCAGCCCCTGGAATGTTCTGCACCACCAACATTCCTCACTCTGCATTTGGTTCACACGCTGGGGAGAAGGGCAGAACAGCCACCTTGGACCCTCCTAGCCATGGGAGGATGTGTCTCAGGTGGCAGGTGCTGCCACTGTTGGTCGTGGCCTGGGTTTCATCACGCTGTCACACACAGCTCACCAGGGCTCCCAGGCACAGGTCACTGTTTGCTGGTTTCCCCTTGTCTGAGTGCTGGGGGAAAAAAAATCAAACATCCACTCATTAGCCTTGTGTCTCTAAGTGACCCCTGGCTTTGGAAAGTCTTCCCTGGCCACTCCCAGGCCATTTTCCAGCTGAGTCCCCAGGTTGGGAAGTCTGGGAAGCTATCTGCATGGCTTGGGAAGGTGCGTCTTTCTCCATTGCAGCAATTCTCCACTGGAGAAGCATCAGATGTTCCACAGCCACTGCAGGGCTGAAGCACGAAGAGCTCAAAAGTGCAGAAGGGGACAGATAAGCAGGAGCCTCCCTGCTAAGGAGAAGCTTCTTTGCAGGACAGAAGGACAGACAACAGGCTGCTGCCAGCACTAGAATCAGGAAGCTTCTCAGAGCCCTGCATAAAGGTTGAGAGCAGGGCTTCTTGGGAGTTGGGAGGAGTCCCGCATCTGTTTCACAGTGTGACCTGGAGGGTGGCTGCCTTGCCCTGCTCACTCAACTGGTCTGGTTTGTGTAAGCACAAAGGGCTCTAGGACACTGACCCCCTAGATTTTTCTCACATGTTGTTCTCATAGAGAAATGTCTGACCTCCCTGCTCTGGACTTGTAGAAATATCTGAGTGAAGCTCCTAGTATTCATCTGTAGCCCCAAATATTAAGTAAGTTGTGCTACTCCAATGCTCTCAGATCAGAAACTGAGACCAGACAGAGAGAGGGGCTCCCAAGACTTCTGCATTTTTTCTGTCTCCCTGGTCAATGCTTTCTTCACCACATCTACGATCTTTCCCAATGGAGAAAGAAATCCAGCTTTATTATCTATTTAGCTTTATTTTTTAAGAATATGTATGTCTGTTAAAATTAAACTAAGGCTGGTTCTAGAGTCAGATAGAACCAGATTTAAATTCCAGCTCCACCACTTACCAAGTGCAATAGAGTAAAGAGCCTGTGGGCAAATAATTGCCATCTGCAGCTGAGATTCCTTCTCTGGAAACAGTGCCTACATCATAAGGTCATGTAAAGATTAATTAGGATAATGTACGTAAAGGGCTCAGCATGGTGCCCAGCAGGTAATAAACACTCAATAAAAGTTAGCTATTTTTTTTACCATTGTTGTTAATATTTTAATGAATATGTAAAGCAATTGATAATATTTAAATTAGTGTTATGGTCAAAGCTCATTAACTGTATTTGGATGTACAGGGATGAAGTGAGAAACTTTGTTTATTCACTAAGCCATTTAAATTTCCACTTTGAAATTTTGTTTCTGTGCTTACTTGGTTTTTAATTAGTTTTAAAAGTTTGCAGGCAAACTCCAAACACTAAGTTTCCACCAACTCCTTCATGGATCCACCCCTTCCTAAAATATTAAACTATAGTATTAGATCATCATAGGTGCTCAATAAATGTTTTTTGGGTAGATGAATTTATGGATGGGTTAATGGACAGATGGATGAATGGACGATGGAGGGATGATGAATGTATGGGTGGATAGATGGATGGATGAAGGAGGGATGATGGATTGATGAAGGATGGAGGATGGATGGTTGGATGATGATAGATGAATAGGTGGATGATGGATTGAATGAGTGGTGCTAAGACAGTAGCACCATGAAGTAACCACCTTTGGTTCAGACTGCATAGTGGTCTGTTTTCATGAAAACCCATAATGAGGAGGCTTAAGGACTGGAATAACATGGTGAAGGGCCCAGAGGCCTTTGTGCAGACAAACAGCAGGTGCAGTTGAAGTGAGGAGACATAGAAGGAAAGGCTATGGTCAGAGACTGAGATGGGACAGAGTGAAATCCTAGAGTAGGAGTAGTTCCTGGTGATGCAAGTTCTTGGAAGCAGCCAGGGAGTGGGTACCTAAGGTAAAAAGGGATTCTGGGGGTCCTTAAATACAATGAGTTCTAGGAACTATGAGTCCAGATTATTGGATGAATTCACATGGCCTCTTATGCAATCCCAAGCTAGGATTAAAGTGACCTAAATTAATGAGGTTTTATTCTATATTCCATTAAATTGCTCCATGGGAGGGAGGGGGGTTTCTTATATAAAACTGAATTAAATATAAATAATAATCATGCACTGAACAAAGGTATTTATTTATAATTCTTGCCTTATTTTTACCTCAGTGAATGAATGGTAGTGTTGCTTAAAGGGTGTGTGCGTGCGTGTGTGTGTGTGTGTGTGTGTGTATGACAGAGAGAGAGAGAGACAGAAAATGTTCATCACATTGTTTTGTTGTCTGACCTTTTCAGCATTTTAGCTCCAGGCCAGTTGTGGGGCAACACTGGGAATCTTGTAGGAATTATATATAGCAAAATATCACCAGCAACCAAAGACATTCCATTCCTCCCCGCCCAATCCAAATACTTGAAATTCACAATAAATTTTGGCTTGGTGAGCATGGCATTATATTTATGCATGGGACATTTTATTTATCATTTCTATTCACAGTACAAGGGAAAGAGGGCTGGATGGTGGGTGGGGAGACACAGTGAGCCCCTGACCCCACCTCCATCAGCATTTGCTCTATGACAGAATAAGAATTGTGGCCAGAATGGCATTTGTGTTTAGCATTTTACAGTCTAAACTTTAGCCTCAGACTTTAGTTAGTAATACTGTACTATACACTTGAAATTTGCTAAGAGAGTAGATCTTGAGTTTTCTTACCACACACACAAAATAGTAACTATGTGAGGTGATGGATATGGTAATTAGTGTGGTTGTGGTAATAATCTCACACTGTACACATCTATCAACTCATCACATTGTATACCTTAAATATGTGCCATTTTTATTTGTCAATTATGCCTCAATAAAGCTGGGGGAAAAACATCACCCTCAGCTTTTAAACCTCACAGCAGTTCACAGATGTTGGCCAGCTAGATATTATTGTGCCCATTGACGATGGGAACCTGAGGTAGAATAGAGAGATGAAGTGACAGGTGCAGTTCACTCAACTGTATGTGGAGAGCCAGATCCAGCCTATGGCCTTCTAACCCACACCCAGCACTCTAAGCACTAGACTGTGGCAAGTCACTGCCTCTGTGTTTCTGCCCCTATAAAGTAAATCCATCTCCCAGTCCTTCCACTAACAGCTTTGACTAGCTAAAGTTCTGGAAGGACCATGACAGGAACAAATATTTGCCCATCCACTGGTATTTCTGCAAGACAGCATAAGCCATGCAAAATTATAAGGCTGGAAAAGGTGTTTTGAGGGCCATTTCACTGCTCGTCACCCTCTCATAGCCACCAGCCTCATCGGAAATATGCCCCAAGAGCACAGGAAGCCACAGAGCATGTGTACCACCCACCTTCTCTAACAAGATAATAAATCTTTCCACAGCTGGTCCTAAGCTGTTAGGTCACACCAGGTTGGAAGGGCAGGCCACTTCTACCTGTTACATGCCCTTACACTTCTTATGGATCAATCAGGACATTTTTCCTCAATGATATGACTTCAGATGCTGTTACTCAGTCACAAACTGACCCATGAGATGAAACCGATTTTTTATCCATGTGTTAAGCAGTTGTTAACAATCCATACCACACTGGCTTCTAGAAACGCTAAGAGACACAAACAGAACTATTAAACACCAAGATCAAAGAGCAAGAATGGAGTAAAGGGGAAATCCGTGTGCAGAAGCCCAGACTGAGGGGGCCTGTTGCAAATGAGGAGAAAACTTCATTCGCAGCTTCCTTACAGACAATGTTAAAAGGAAAAATAGGTTACAAAACTCTAAGGAACTCGGTCACTTTTAAGGGAAGGCCATAAAATCTAGGAGGAAATGCTTGTGTGGATTTTAAATAAGGCATATCAAGCATCTTAATGGCCATTGTCTTCACTCACCAAGGCATTGTTTCTCAGGTTTCTCTGGGCTGTCAGAATCAGAACCATCTGGGGTGCTTGTTCAAAATGCAGGTTCAACTCACTGAGTGACACTGTCTGTGAGATAGGCCTGGTGACCTGTATTTAAACAAGGTCAATCACTGATTCTTCTACACCTGCAAGTTGAAGAAAAACTTCACCAAGATGTTAGTAGATAACAGTGTCTTAACTTCCTAACTATCCTTTCATCTTACCAGAGGTCAATGCCTGGTGCCACAGGAGTCTCTGAGGAGAACTCCAGGTCTCATGGCCCAGTAAGAGAGAGATTTGGAGGCTGCAGGGGCTCCCCACCTACTTGTGGAGGGGAAGCTGGGCTGTCTTCATACACTTGGAATGAGCTTTCTTCTTACCACAGGCTACAGAGAGGGAACACCCCTCCTTAGCCCTCGTCACTCCGAGGGCTGGCCATGGCAGCCACGGTAGCCGCCAGCATACCTTAGCTATGGTGATGTTGGCTTGGCTGACCAACTCTCTCCCTTCCCCATCCTCATCCATGATAGGGCAGGCAGAGCACCAAGCCCAGGAGTCCAGGAGCCAACCAGTGGCAAAAACACAGATGAAGGAGCCATGCCACCTCCCAACCCCTGGCGCATGCCTCCCTACCCCACAGGGCAACCTGGGATCTGTCAGGGATCTGCCTCAGGGAGGCAATCATGGGTTCTTTCCTCTCCCTCCACACAGGTTTGGAATAAATTGCCTCATCCAGTTTGAAGACTTTGCCAATGCCAATGCCTTCCGCCTGCTCAACAAATACCGTAACAAGTACTGCATGTTCAATGATGACATCCAAGGTAGGTTTCCAACCCACCTGATAAAGCCACAGGGGACTAACTTCTATTCTCAAACCTCACTGGGATGCCAAAGGGGTGGGGAAGGGCTGTCACCTCATAACTGGTTTGTTGCCAGCAGCTGCTGAAGAAAGAACATTAAACTTAGATTTAACTCCTACTTAGCTAATTCTTAACTCTGTGAATTCAGTTTCCTTTTCTACAAAATGAAGATCATTACTACTTCAGAGGTAGGTAAGAATTATGTGATTTTAATATATCTAAGAAATTCTAAACAAGGCTGTAATTTACTAGCAAGATGAACTTGAATCAATCACTTCTCTGACCACAGTTTTATCATCCTGTCAATAGGGAGGATAACAACTGCCTTGGAAGAGCATGGTGAAAATTTACAAAGCTAACATTACAGAAAGTACTAACCTGTAAAACTCACCAGACCAAAACACCAATCACCATAAAAATGGCCTTACCCAGCTGTAATAACTTGCTTTTAGGTTTTCCAAATACAAGGCGTGTCCCTATCAGGAAGTCAGGACAATTCCTTCTCTGACTTTGACTGACGTGCTTGTTGCTCATAATGGCCCTGTGAGACACACTGACACCAGGAACCGAGAACCTTCCAAAGCCAACATGAAGCAGCTTCTAGTTCAGCTTCCACTTGGCCATCTATTCTGTAACCCAGAAATATCTGAAGGCACTTGCTTCTTACTGTGGTGTTGCCAGTGTCTGAAGTTGGAGTGGAAAGGGATTCATTTCACTTGATCTAGGAGTGCACAGGAAGGATCATTGTGAGCTGTTCCTAGCATTTTGTAAAGTCCAAGAGAAACCTTGATGATTTTTTAACAAATGAAGTTTGCCAAGCAATCTTTTAAAACCAAAGATCCATGTCAGGTGGAAAGAGTAAGTTGGCGAGAGACAGGTGTTGGCCCTTGATTGTTAAAGGATGGCCAACTTCTCATTTTGCAGATGACTTCTCCAGAGGCTCAAAGAGGTCACAACTTTTCTTCAAGTGAGTTAGGCATAGATCTAAGAGAACTCAAACTCAGGTAATAATAGCTAAGGTTAATCATTGAATGCTTATTTTTTATCGGGCACTGTTCTAAGCCCTCTACACTTTTAAACCAACAAGACACTAGCATCTCTGTCTTATGAATGAAGACACTGAGACAGAAAAACAGTAAGTATCTTTTATAGCCATTAAGCATATAGTTGAGGTTTGAGCCCAGGCATTCGGATTCTAAATTGCAGTCTATAACCATTCACCTTGCCATTCCCAGGTCTTATATTACAAACCAAGTTGCCTTTTTTCCCCTTATGATCCACATTACAAGGTATAAGCAATGTGATCAATGATTTTTTGTATTTGTCATAAATTTTCAAGAGGCAAGATAGCACCAGAACACACTATTAGAAAATTGAGTTTAAAATATATAATTTCAGTGCCCAAAGAGTGCGTATTCAGAGAGAGAGGAGACCCAAAAGGAGAAAGCTGGGACATGGCGCCCCCTGCCAGCCTGTCTCCATTCTGTCTTCCCCTTACCCTGTTGCATAGACCTGGGACAGGCATTGGCTGGGCTAGGCCAGCCTCACCCACACAAGCCAGGACACTGCACAGACAGGGCTATGGGGTCCAGGAAGATGTGCTGGTCAACGGAAGCATTCTTTCACTGCCCCCACTCACCTCACTGTTAGCCCAGCAGGTGGGAGTGTGCCCGTGGCCCTGAGGAAGCACCTGCCTGCTAGCCCCTGACCAGCTCCCTAGCACAAATTCACCCATGAATCAGGAGCAGGACAGCCAGTCCCCTGAACCCACCAGGCTGCCAAGGCCAGAGGGTGGAAGTGGAAAACAAGTCCATGCAGGTGCACAGCCTTCAGCTGCACAGACACACAGACAGCCACATGTGTATATATCCTCCTAAACACAGGCACAGGAACACAGCCAGGCCCTGCAGTCCCCCAGCCCCCATCTGCCCCCACACTGCTGCCAGAATGTGCCTCAGAGATGAAAGTATCACTCACTATGCCACCCTCTCTTCATGAGAAAGTTTGTACCCCTTCAGTGAAAATATAAGACTTTGGGATCTCTCTTCTGCCCTCTGCCCTTCCCTTTATTTGACTCCTCTGACATCCTTACCCACATTTCGTTCTGTGTGTGAAGTCGTGCTCACCTTTTACAATCATCTTTACCTGAGTCATTCCTACTCACCTTTAAGGACTCAACTTCAGGGTCTCCTGCCCAGGGAAGGCTGTGAAAGCTTATATTGCATTGCCTCCCTTCCCAGAAGATAATAAGCTTCTGGAAGCAGGAACCATGCCTTACCCATTCTTGCTCCCCAGCTCCCAGCACCATGTCTGCTACATGATAGATGTTTAATGGATATATGAGTTATGTCAACACACACAAACTGACATCCTCATAAGTACACTTACCTTTTCATGTATGTTTGTCTATACTGGACACCTGCCCCTGAAGCCTTTCTCTTGTCCAGGTCATCATTCATGTACAGATGACCCTTGAACAAGGTGGGGGTTATGGGTGCCAATGTCCCACACAGTCAAAAATCTGCATAACTTTTGCCTCCCCAGAAACTTAGCTACTAATAGCCTACTGTTGACCAGAAGCCTTACTAATAACATAAATAGTGGATTAACCCATAGACTAGTATACCTCTATTTTATGTGTGCATGACATACCTAACTTCTTAATTTTTTTTGATATTTCTAGGCTACACAGTTAATCTGAGAGTTTTTTCAATTGTTACAAACCTCCAAAAATTTTTAAATATATTTTTGAACAAATCCGCATATAAGTGGATCCATGCAGCTCAACCCCATGTTGTCCAAGGGGCGACTGTGCTCACATATCAATGTACCTCTATATGTGCTCATATATATTCAGATGTGCACACCACATGCATACACACAGAGCTGTTGGTTTTCAATTAAATCAATCCATTTGTTTAAATTCATTGGTTTTTGTGTCTTGCCTCTACAGTTAATTTTGCTCCCAGGCAAAACCAGGTAGGTAATTTGCTGGGTCCCAGAGCAAAGAAAAGAGGGATTTCCTATTCTTTTCTCAGAAATTTGAGACTAAAGCCATCAATCTAGAACTCATGAGGAGAGCTGGCAAACAGTGCTGGAATGGCAAGAGCCCTATAATAATCAGCCTTTGATCAGCTCAGCCTGACATTTAGGTGTGACCGTATCATTAACTGCCATAAAGAGGTGGGCATGGACATGTGCCACCTAGATCCTCCTTCAAGGAAAGATGTGTTGCCCAGCTGATGGCAGGGCTGTCAGCATATCAGGTACAGCCTCAGCTTCAGAGAGCCATCTCGCCACCATATCTGAGGCTGGCCTCACCCTGTGATGAGAGAATATAAAGGCTTTAACTTTTAGCCCAGTGCAGGACAATTCAAGCTCCCCATGGAGTTGGCTGAGGCTTTGGGGCCTGCATCACAGCTCAACTTCCCCCTCAACCCATTCTGCCTCCTTCCCTTCCTTCCCCTCAAGGGCACTTCCTAAAAACATCCGGAATGCTCCAGTATATCTCAGAATCTGCTTCCAGGGGACCCAAACTGTACCAAATAACATTTTGCATGTACACAGAACTTTAGGTTGAAAGTGCTTTTCATCCTCAGTATCTTACAAGTGCCTGGAAATGCTCCCCACTCACTGGGGGACAAACACAGCTGTCCTACATCACTAATGAGGAAACTGAAGCCCAGGGGGTTAAAGCTTGCTCATGGCCACATAGCCAGACAGACACAAAACTCAAACTGGAACCCCGTTATATCTGACTTGGAATTCTCCAGTCTCTCCATGGCATCAGGCTGCCTATTGCTCCTGCATGTGTGAGGTGGTAGAGGGTGTCTTCTCATTAAGGATGAAATCCAGACCCTGCTAGAACAGTGTGGGTGTCGCTGCTCCCTGGCATCCTGCTGCTCTCATTCTGTCCTCCCCATCGTTCCCATTCCTTCCTCTAACTCCTACACAATGCAAACCTGAAGATGAGGCCCATGGTGACGAGCTGGTTAGGGATGGATCCAGGCCAGAAGCCTTTGATTTGTGTTCTCATTGTTAAATGGGTAATGAGAAGACTGGTAAGGAATTCCAGGACTAATGAGCCAACATGGAAGATACAGCCCATGCTGGAATTGTCCCCCTTTATCTCCAAATACAAAGTGAGGAGCAATGTCACTTAAGACTACAAGCCATGCTCACAATGGAGAGGAGCACCTCCATGCACAGAACCACAGAGGGTTGGGAATGAAGGGCGAGAGGGAGTGTGGGAGGGAGGAGGAAGCAACATACAATCACAGTTGTAAACAGAAACCAAATCACATAGCAAGTGGGAGCTGGCGACAGATTCTCAGAATCTTCTTGTGAACCACACATGGAGGGGGCTGGAAGCAAGCAACCCACATGAAAATGAGACGAGAGTCATGCTACCTGCTCTGAATACCAGCTTAGCCTCACATCCTCAGTGGAACAAGGAAAAATACAATGTAATCCTTGGGAGCCCCACTCTACTGAGCTCCCAGAGGGCAGAGCCATGCCTGGTGCTAAGCAGGAGCCCAGAGCACATTATCTGACTGTCCCCCAGCCAGTCCCACTGTACCATGTGCTCAGAATCACTGACCCCATGGGGCTGGGCCTCTGGAGCCTCAGCACTTGAAGGGAAGAGAGTTCCCCAGGGCTTCTGATCATCTCTGCCTCCCACCTCACCTCAGACCCACATAAAGCCTCTGCCCAGGCTCAGGCTGGTCCTCGGCAAGCAGAGCTGCCAATGCACTGACTCATCGCTGGCAGCCTCTCAGGAATTTTGGAAAAGGCAGAGGCTCAGGTGACTTTTGTTGTTTCAGCTGGGACCAGAGAAGCATCTCTGCTCTTAGGGAGGAAAGAGAGTCCTGGAAGAAGAAAGGCAGTGTGATTGATCAAGCTGAGAAGAGGGAAAGGAAGGAGAGCCACACAAGGAGCCAGGTCCAGGGTGCTGCAAGCCC